GGCGGCGGTGGGCGCGCGCGCGCTGGGCACCTGGCTGCGCTGCCCGAGGAGATGCTGGGCTTCGTTGCGCTGGCGGCGCTTCTCGAGACGGGCGAGCTCGGAATGGGTCCGCCTGTCCGACTCAAACTCGTCGTCGTCGTCGTCGTCGTCGTCGCTGAGGCTCACCTGGTCGCGGCTGCGCTTGTTGCGTTGTGGGAACGGTAACGAGCTGTGGTGGATGACGGGGCGCTGGCGTGACGAATGTGTGGACAGTGCTGCCGCACCGTGGTCTACGGGAAGGATACCGTGGCCGATGTGCTGGTTGGACGGTGGCGGCGCGGCTGCGGCGCCGCGTTGGGCCTGCATCAGGGTTTGGATATCCGAGGCATCTCGGAAGAGACTGGTACCGGCCTTTGCGCTCGCGAGGCGCACAATGGGCTGCGACTCGCCTTGATCATCTTCGTCGTCATCGTCGTCGTCATCGTCATCACCGTCGTCGTCGGCGTCCTCGGGTGCGTCGTGGAACTCCTCGGCGCCTGCGTCGTCGGTCGGCGTCTCCTGCTGGTTGCGCCGCAGGGCCTCGTCCAACTCCAAGGCAACGGCCTGTATGCGGACTAGCAGATCGTGCGCGGGAAACAGCTTGGTGCGAAACAGGGATATATTCGCAAAGGCGGCCTCGTGCTGGCCAAAGTGCTTGAGGAACTTGGCGACCCGCGTCCAGCAGCAGCGCTTCTGCGCCTCGTCGCTCGCCAGGCCGGCGACTGGGCGATACGGCCCTTTGCGGACGGCATCTCTCAGCGCCTTTCTGCGGGCATCCACCACTTCTTTTCTGTGGGCATCGTCGCGCGCCTCGCCGAGGGCATCCCTGAGCGTCTCGTCGGAGAGACCCTCCTGAGGAACGCAAAAGACGTCATACGCCATGGTGTAGGCGTCCTGGTTTGTCTTGGCGCTGGCGAGCGCGGCCAGCAGACGCGCAGCGCGAATGTCGAGCGCCAGAAGGACCTGGGTCTGTGTGGCATGGGGAAGCAGGTCGTCGTCACCGAGTAGCAGCTCGTTGAAGTGCGTGTCGAGGAGGGCGAGCTTATCGGCGTCGGCGAGGCGCGACGCTTTTCGTTGGTCCTGGGCGCCGCAGTAGACGATTTCTAGCAGCGTCGCGAGATTGGCGAGGATGAGCGCTTCTTTAAAACGGGCGACGTCTGTGGCAGACAGTTCGGCGTGACTGTTAAGCCACGACGTGGGCAAAAAGGGCGACCACGAGTCGTCGACGATGAAGTGCTTACGCACAGTGCGGAGCGCATCCAGAGCGAGCTCGAAGGTTCGGCGCGCAAACTTCTCGGTGTCCCCAAAGACACGGTATTGAGAAAAAAGATCAAGCGCCGCCTTGGGAATCTTGTCGAGGTGCTGTAGCATAAATTGCACGTCTTCCTCGTCGACTTGGATGAGAGCCTCTTGCTCGTCTCCGTTGCCGACCTGAACGAGAGCCCCTTGCTCGTCACCGTCATTCTTCTGCTCATCGACTTCCTCCTTGCCGTCTTCGTCTTCCTCTCCGTCATCGTCGTTTTCTTCGTCCTCATCATCGTCCTCCTCGTCTCGGGGACGGTCCGAAGGAATGTCCAGATCGCTTGCCGCCGCGCCGCGTGGAGGGTTCTTGCGGGGCTTGGGATCATGAACAATCGAGGAGCGAACTTGGACCGGCAGCTCTGGCGCAGGTGATTTTCTCATGGCGGCGCGCGTTTTGGTTGCCATGCCGCGTTCTGGCTCGGCTGGAACAGCATCCTCGTCGCTCTTGCGTGACCGGCCTCTGGTACGTCCTGTGGATCTGCGCACCGGCGCGGAGGACGTGGGCACGGTCTTGGCTGCGCGGAGTTTGGGGGGCATGGTGAGGTTGTGGGCGATGATGATGATGATGATGATCTAGGGGGGTACGCGAGCGTGAAAGCTTGTGCTGGGGAAGCGTGAATGGATTGTTGTGAGGTTGAGGGAAACCTTGCGGTCAGGGGTCAAAGGGCAGAATTTTGAGATGTGTGAATGGTTTTTTCCCAAGAAATTATATGTACAAAGGGGTGTAACAGGTAACCTTCTCTTGTTCAACGCCATCAAGTGCTCATTTACTGTTGTTGTGGTGCACTTGTGTTGTTTCAAGGTCGACGACGGAAGCTGGAAAATTGGTCAAATGGTCCGAGCTTATTTGTTATTGTGGGTCAATTCGCGATTCCGGGTTAGGGTTAGGGTAGGGGTAGAACTGGATAGGTAGGTATGAGGTAAGGTCAAGGGGGCAAGGACAGAGGGTCAAGGTCTACCTGATCCAGTAACCAGCAACTACGGCCAAAATACAAAATAACCTGCAATTCTAGTTTCATTGTTGCCAAGTGTTTTTTTCGCCCTGAGTTTATTCAACATCACCCCGCGTTCCTGCTCGACTCTCATTACTCTTATCAGCACAAAGATAAGATGGCAGGGCATCCATTCGGTACGTACCACCTTGCCTCGACACCGCTCTTGCATCTTGTCGCAAAAACACCACTCTTTCAGCTCACCATTTATTAATCATATTCGGAACTATGCACAAGGAGTCGTCGACATTTTTTGCACAGCCACGCTGCACTCAATCAGATGCCAGATAACGGCTGTCAGAAGCATTTCACTCTCGCCGCTGGTCATCTGCACCACTAGCTCACGAGCTAGAAGACGACGCACAATGGTGGTGCTATTATCAGGATGCTATCAGGCAATCGGCAGCGTGCAAATGTGGTTCTAATGGTCTGCTATATGAAACTTGCTACATACATACCCTCCCCCCCCCCTCTCGCAACCAGCCAGCCACCGAATCAACGCCGCCGAAGCGGAGCGACCATCAGACGATGCAGCCCGACCACACCTCGAGGTGAAGCTGACGCCAGCGCCAGCGCCTCGCTCGAGCTTGGCTGCTCGGACATACAGGTAAACGTCGTTCACAACCTGCCGATCCACCACATCGACGGAGCCCGGACTAGTTGCCCGATTCGACGTTTATGTGGCCTTCTTCTTTGACAACTTTTCTTGCTCCCTTCCAAAAAGACCCGTAAGATAGGCGGAGCGCATCACGAAAACAAACGTCTAATACGGTGGAGAGCCCCAGGGCCCCCCAGCTCAGTTAGCGGAACTGACTACTGGAAGAAACGCAGCGACCTGGTATCGACTCTGATGATAATGCGTATTGTAGATTGGCTTACCGTAAACCCAATATTGCCCCAGGTCATCGCGTTCCACGTTTGTGGCTGCATCACCCGCTGCTTGCCCAGCGCCAAGCATGTGAAAGCAAGATGGCCAATGTCACCGAGCCACAACGCAACAAGATAACTTCTCACCACCTTGATCTCGGAAGTTGTCGCAAGCACGGCCAGCCCGACAAAGCACATGAGGAGATACATGTTACCTAGCTGTTGCGCCATGACAATGCTGTGCTCTGATGCAGGAAGCACCTGCCTCTCGGGCAGCTGTTCAGCGATGAACCATGCTGGGTCCCAGATAGCGCCGACGAAGCCAGCGACTCTGTGCACGGTCAGTTGCCATGAATTTCTTGGGTGTCGTGGCCGTGTGTTGGCCTGCTTGCCCCCTGTGCGCACTCACAAAGAAATCGGCTCGATGATGGTAAACGTCACCCGAGGAATCGTGGGCATTTGTGAAGCCATTGCGCCTCTTATCACGGCCTCAGCCTCAACACTCTGCAAATGCTAGAATAATGACGCCACCGGCAAGCAGCTGCCAGATGGCTGCAGGTCGCAAACAGGGTATGTGCCTTATCGACCAACCGCCAGTCAGCGTCTGAAGCTTGTGATTCCGAGCCGCGATCCACAATTCGCTGGGTTCGGGGCGTTACGAGAGCAAAGGTGTGACAATTGAGATACCCGGAATGAACCGTACGACGTGGGCGCGACGTCGGCTTGTCAGGCGGCGGAGTGCGTGTGTCAGAAGCTTAGAGGAGCGCAGAGTGGCACGGTGCATGTGGCCCCCGCGCCGGACAGACGGGAATGGTATAACAGCCGCTTTTCAGCTTAATTGCAGGGCTGGTCTTGAAGGCAAAAGGGGGGTCCGTTGAGCCTCCTGTCTGTTGACGAGTGACGACGGAGAGACGGAGAGTAGGTTTGGTGCCGGCCCCAGCACCCACAGAAACCTAGGATGGTCTAGCGGGCGGGGATTTGCGACTTTCGTAGAGATGATAATAACAAGCGAGCGTAAAATCGTATAGCAAAGGGGACTAGTTACGGATACTCGGGTGGATTGCAACTGGCAAGACGGCTGTTTGGTCGCTGGCACGGTTACTGGGCCGTGGGCCGCAGAGCCAAACCGCCAAAGCCTCCACCACATCCGGCTGCCATGTGACAGTTTCACGTGTCACTGCGACAGAGACAAACCACTGCACCGCCAACGCAAAGCCTCGATTCGGCCTTGCGCTTGCTTGTGCATCGGTCGCAGATGGACCCATCCTTAATCCGAGGATGGGACGAGACCACTTTGTCTTGCAATCTTCGACTTCTTCTTAACTTCCTCCTTGCCCGCCTCCATTGCCACCCTGTCTCCCTCTCGGCTCTTGATCCCAAGCACACCAATGCCCCCCGGGACATCGCCCTGACACTTGCCCACGATGGCTACCATCGAACCGCGCCTGATTCACCTCTTGAACGAGTCGACATCGACTCCTCACCACTCCCATCCGGACCTCCCTCCTCTGCACGCCCTGCCGCTGCACGCCCACGGTGACAGGCCTCTACCGAGGCTGGACCGCGATGTAAACCGCCATGCCGCGTCACATCCGTATCCCATTCGCCTGCTTCTCGACGACTCCGACTCGGGCGAGTCGCGGCAAGGTCATGGAGCCTACCGCGATGACAGTCCCGAGGGCCCCGACGATGTCTACCACAAGAAGCGCAGCCGTGCTACCATGCACGTCAAGGATGACTTCGTGCAGCTGCCGCAGCCACTCAAGAAGCAAAAGGCTACACAGCAGGCTCTAGTCATGCCACCCATTATCAACGGCCTCCACGAGCCGCCGCCCCATGCAGCGCTCTTCCCACCCATCTCCTCGACAAATTACGACAACGACGCCAGCCAGATGAAGTTGATGCACGACTTCAACAACCACAGCAGCCCTGACGAACGCTCCCACCGACGAGGCTCCTCCGAGACAGACAAGAGCTCCTCCAAGGGCCGCAAGCGCGCCGCAAAACCCCGACGCAAGTGGACAGACGAGGAGACCAATCACCTTCTCCTCGGCGTGAATCGTCACGGCGTCGGCAAGTGGACCAATATTTTGGAAGACCCCGACTTTGCATTCAACGAACGCACTGCCGGCGACCTGAAGGATCGCTTCCGCACTTGCTGCCCCGAAGAGCTCCGAGGCGCCACCAAGGGCTCTCGATTTGAACGCCGTGTGGAAGGCAACAGCAAAAGCAGTTCTCGCAAGGGTCTCCACTCAGAAAATATCTTGATCAGCGAGGAAAAGTCTCGCACCAAGAGCTCAAAGAGTCCTATTGATCCCGAGTCGCCCAAGCACAAGAAGAGCCGCGCTCATCGCAAGAACATGGAAGACTTGGCTGAACTCGGCATTCACGGCCCGTTTAAAAAGTCTCATCGGCGTGAACGCCGACCTTTTACAGAGCAAGATGACCATGAGATTCTCGAGGGTCTTGATCACTATGGCCCAGCCTGGACCAAAATTCAACGCGACCCTCGCTACCATCTCTCCACCCGGCAGCCTACCGATTTGCGTGACAGAGTCCGCAATAAATACCCTGCCATCTACCAGCGTATCGAAAAGGGCACCTTTCAATCCAAGGATTCATCCCGGGGCAACGACATTATGGAGCCTTCGGTCAACATGTCCATTGACAACTCGCTGAAGCGCTCCAAGGTTGCTGCCATGCCCAGCCGCCGCGGCTCCCGCGACGAGGCGGCGAGATGGCCTGCTCACCTCACTGAACCTGAATATGCCCAGCCTTCTAACTTTGAGTTTGGAGAGGTTGGGGCAAGTCACTTCATGGGCGGCGAGATGGATATTTCCAGACTACTTTTGGACGATCCCCGAATGGCTCACAGTCAGGGTCGGCAAGGCGAGCTCTCCGGACCTTCGTCCCCTACCGCCGCCGGCGTGGACCCTCGCCGTGACCGTTACGAATATGCACTTCGGTGCTGAAACATCATTGGACATGGAACAGAATTGAACACGCCACTTATTTCAACATGGTATATACTACGGATAATGTTTTTTTTTGAGGAGTTTGGACTGTGATAGGACATCGAATGGGATCATGGCGCATGGTAATTTGATTTGACTGATACCAACAATATAGAGGGCTACGGGACACAGGCAGTCTCAAAGGGAACAAACGGACCCAGCTAGTCGGCCGCTCTTGAAGCAGGCAGGGGAAGAATGAATGCCACCAGCAGTTGGCAGCTGATAGCATCTACAAACACCTACCACATACAAAAGCAGTTTATTAGCGAGCGATTCATAGTCTAGTTCGAATAATATAGCCTGCCCTGCAGGCATTATATCTACAATCATGAGAACTTTACATGTGAAGGTGGCAAGGGGGCGATTGGACCCGTTTACCCAAAAGACAATGAACCTCGGCACGGGGCGCTGGGGCAAGAAGTAAATTGAGGCTCCACCGTCCAAATTGACGTTATCGCCATGCCCACACGTGATCAAGCGCGTGACTTGACGGACACCCCACAGTTCCCAGCTGCTAGGGCACAAAGCCCCCAGCAGACGACGCTAGGCCAAGCGAGGATCGAAAAAATTGTGCGTGCCCCAGCGGAGCACATCTTGGTCGTGTTGACGGAGCCTGCCTCAATTTCTAATTTTCTGCATCCCGACTAACTACACAGCCAAACCGACAAAATGGCCCGCGGAATGTAAGTCGACACTCCAAATCGAAATGCGGCATTGAGAATCCGGCATTGCTGTTCGGGCAATGCTCCGAATGATTCGATGCTGCAGCTCGCCTCCGACAACACTTGCTCCTCAGCAGCCGTCTCTCACATCACGACCAACCCATAACTGACGAACCTCGCAGCAAGAAGCACCAAAAGCGTCTCTCAGCCCCCAGCCACTGGCTGCTGGACAAGCTGTCGGGCGTCTACGCGCCCAAGCCCTCGGCCGGTCCTCACAAGCTGCGCGACTGCATGCCGCTCATCGTCTTCATCCGCAACCGTCTCAAGTACGCGCTCAACTACCGCGAGACGCGCTCGATCCTGATGCAGCGCCTCATCAAGGTCGACGGCAAGGTCCGCACCGACATGACCTACCCGGCCGGCTTCATGGACGTCATCTCGATTGAGAAGACGGGCGAGAACTTCCGCCTCATCTACGACACCAAGGGCCGCTTCACCGTCCACCGCATTCAGGCCGAGGAGGCCGAGTACAAGCTCGGCAAGGTCAAGCGCGTCCAGCTCGGACGCGGCGGAATCCCATTCTTGGTCACGCACGATGCCAGAACGTGAGTTTCTGTTAGACATCATTCAGCCGTTGGATCAAGCTTTGGTTGATTTCGGGGAATTTGGGGCGTTTGACACGCAATGTTACTCTCCATGACTATCCTTTCATGATTTGACTCATGATTTGGCTTTCACGATTGGTCTTCCATGATTGATAGCTCCATCACGGGTAATTCCATGATTGGCAAAAGAGAATGAGAGGAGGTTACTGAACCGCTGTCTCGTCTGCCTGCTGTGGCAGGGTCAGACAGGCGGCGGGGAATCAGTGACGCCTCGCCGTAGAATTGCTCCCACGCTCCCCGAAACTCCCATCGTCTTTTTCTGACGAATGTAATGGTAAATCCCTTCGTCGCATTTTTGCTAACATGGTAAATCCAGCATCCGCTACCCCGACCCCTCCATCAAGGTCAACGATACCGTCAAGATTGACCTCGCCACCGGCAAGATCACCGACTTTGTCAAGTTCGACACTGGTGCCATTGCCATGGTCACCGGCGGTCGCAACATGGGCCGTATCGGTGTCATCACCCACCGCGAGCGCCACGACGGCGGCTTCGCCATTGTCCACATCAAGGACGCCATCGACAACACGTTCGCCACCCGTGAGAGCAACGTCTTCGTCATTGGCCAGGATAAGCCCTGGATCTCGGTGCCCAAGGGCAAGGGTGTCAAGCTTACCATTGCTGAGGAGCGTGACCGCCGCCGCGCTCTGGCCTAAGTCTATCATGATGATGATGGTTTGGGTGTAGAAGAGTAAAAAAAGATGGCATGTGCACAGGAGTCACGGATTTGAGGTTTCTGTTAGTCGGGGGACGATATACCACGTCCTTATAGCCATAGGCAAATATGAGAAAGCAAGAATCTTCCAATGAAACCGTTGTTGTGACTGCTAATATTATTGGTCGTAGTGGTGGAGACTGTCATCCTATCTCGCAGCGTGTTGTCCCATCTCATGGCTTGTTGAGATGGTTTATGATACCTCTCAGCCGGTCAGTACTTGCCAAGGGCAATCATCTCCCTGAGCGACCTCGCTCGACTGCAAACCTCTGTGGCTGTTGTTTTGGGAGGCTATTATTCCATCTGCCGGTATATTATCCGATTTCCCCGCGAATCGTAGGAGCAACGTGGGGGTTAGCGTCGGTGGCTGCGGCCGAGCTGAGCGACGTCGGAATAGGATTTCCGCCAGGCTGGCATGTGTATAAAACAAGGCAACACTTGTAATGTATTCGATACATACTACGCTCCAGAAAAAAGATGCTACGTTCATTGTGTAAATCTCGCTTTCGCGGTCGGCGCTTCGCCGTGCCCAGCCGCCAATGCCAGTCCACCACGACTCACAGTGCCAAGTCGGCTTCTTCGTGGTCCAGCGGCGCTTTAATCGGCATCGCCACAGCTACAGGTGCTATCGGGTGGAGTGTCGCACAGTGGCAGACGGAGAAAATCAGCAGCCAAGTTCATTCTGGCATTCCTAGCGCTGTTGGCGGACAGCGGTTTGCGACACTGTCGGAGATGAACAAGGCGGGTTCTACACCCCTTCACCGAAGCGACATTTGCTAACGGGAATGAATAGGCCATCAGAGAGATTGTGTCGGAACTTGGAAATGAGGAGATTATCTCCACAGATGATGAAGACCTCAAAAGGCACGGATACTCCGAATGGTCTACCGTCAACCCCGACACGCTGCCCGTAGCCGTTGCCTACCCGCGGAGCACGGAAGACGTGGCCGCTATTGCGCGCATCTGTCACACCTACCGCGTGCCTCTGATCGCCTTTTCCGGGGGCACGAGCCTCGAGGGCAATTTTTCCGCGCCGTATGGCGGCATCAGCGTCGACTTTGCGCACATGGACCGCATCCTGCAGCTCAACAAGGACGACATGGACGTGGTGGTGCAACCGAGCATCGGCTGGCAGGACCTAAACCAGGCGCTGGCTGACCGGGGCGCGGGACTGTTTTTTCCCGTGGACCCCGGCCCGACGGCCAAGATTGGCGGCATGATTGGGACCAACTGCTCGGGGACGAATGCCGTCCGGTACGGCACGATGAAGGACTGGGTGATCAACTTGACGGTGGTGCTGGCCGACGGGCGGGTCATCAAGACGCGGAGAAGACCACGCAAGTCTTCGGCGGGGTATAATTTGAATGGCCTCTTTGTCGGCTCAGAGGGAACCCTGGGCATTGTGACAGAAGGTACGTCGAGGTCAAGTTGTAACAGTTGCGCCGCGAGGCAGAGCGCTGACAGATTGCCAGCCACGCTGAAACTGGCCGTCATCCCCGACGCGTACTCTGTGGGCGTCGTATCCTTTCCGACTATTCGCGCGGCCGCGGCTGCAGCCGCCGGTGTCATGCGGGCTGGCGTCCCCGTCGCTTGCATGGAGATCATGGACGACGTGCAGATGCGCGTCGTCAACCTGAGCGGCCACACGGCCCCGCGGACATGGAAAGAGCTGCCCACGCTCTTCTTCAAGTTTTCTGGGTCCAAGGCGAGCGTTGCGGAAAACATTTCCACGGTGCAGGCCATCACATCGGAAAACGGTGGCGAAGAGTTTGAGTTTGCCAAGGACGAGCGGGAACAGAAGCTGCTGTGGTCTGCCAGAAAAGAGTCACTCTGGTCCATGCTGGCCCTCCGAAAGGCTGACGAAGATGTTTGTAAGCAATGACGACCACCTCTTTCGCTTTTCCTTATTTCTTTTACGATGTTTTGCTTCTAACAGATTGGGCTAGGGAGCACCGACGTCGCCGTGCCGCTGAGCCGCCTCGCCGACCTCATCGAGGTAAGCAAGAAGGAAATGGACGACCTGGGCATGTTTGCGAGCATCCTGGGGCACATCGGAGACGGAAACTTTCACGAGAGCATTCTGTACAACCGCAATGACCCCGAGGAGCGCGCGCGGGTGGCGCGCTGCGTGCACAACATGGTGCACCGTGCGCTCAACATGGAGGGCACATGCACCGGCGAGCACTCGATTGGCTGGGGCAAGAAGGCGAGCCTGGTTGCGGAGCTCGGACAGGAGACGGTGGACGTAATGGCGACGATCAAGCACGCGCTGGATCCGCGGTGGGTGCTGAACCCGGGCAAGATCATGGACGTGCCGTGGCTGCCGAGAGAGACGTACCTGGATAGCGCGGATGTGGTGGTGACGCCGATTCGGAGGCTGGTCAAGAAGGATACAGCAAGCAGAGTAGTATAAGTAAGTAGAGAGGCTCTTTGGGGCACTAACTCAAGAGATGAAGCTCCTTCGTACATGTTCACAATGTGTGATAGACTGGACATGTGTCAATATAAAAAACACCTTGAAAATATAGCTTGGAAATGGAAAATACACCCTATTGTAAAATAGCTTGGGTATTTGTGCTGTAATTTTGAAATACTTTACGTGGCATACTCACGTAACCTATGTTTATTTTCCTTTTTCTCTTTGCACTTTGCCCTTCCGCACTTCTGCAAACGCGCAGCAACCCACCTTGCACCTTCACCACCACACCACTCTTCTCTTATTCACAGCCCTGGTTTTTATCTGATCTACTCCATACCACTATTTTGAACCAAATGACGACTTATTACGATTATCCCGAGCAACTGGCGGAAAAATGGTCCAATGCGGAACTCTCCGAAGACCGATCACGAAGCGCCTCGCGCAACCCGCGCGATGACGATGATGTGCCGCCACAGCCCAGCCTCGAGAGAAGCTTCATATCGTTGAAGCTGTCAAACATGCCCAAAAACATCACAATCCAGAAGATCTACAAGGCGTTCTCTCCCAAGGGATGCATCCAATCTCTCGAAATCTTCGATGCCCGCCCGCTCGAGACAATGGCCGTTGGGAGGATTGACTTTGCGCCGCCGCCCAAGATCGAATTCTGGAAAAACGGAAGATTCGAGCTCCAACTTGATGAAAACGAAAAGCCAGTCACTATACATGTGGCGCTGAATGAAGTACGGCACGGACCGCCGAAGAGCGCCGCCGACCAGCGCTACCCGGACATCATTTCCATGCAGCTCAAATCGCTCGATTTCGGCACTCTCGGCAAGGATACAATGGTGATTGGCGCAACAATCGAAACAGCGGAACCTGGCGACCTTTCGCTAGAATTCAACAACCGCAAAGGAGAAGTCGTCATGTACTTCCAATTTGAGGAGAGGCAAAGACACACTTCACGGAAGAGGCAATACAAGCTCATCACGAACGTTTCTGCCATCAGCAAGGTCTAGGATACCTGTTCTGAAGGAAACAAACATGGCTTTATCATCAGTGTGGCTTTCGACAGGCCAATCTATTATTTCTGGCAGGCTCCTGACATCTTGGATCTGATGCCGCCTGATTCGAAGAGATGGCACTGCAACGACAGTTGGGTGCGCGCAACTGATATTTACGAGGTCCTCTCCGAACCCCTACTGCTTCCCATATCGACCTACAGTCGGGGTAAGCTTGGAAAATGTATCGACATTAGCCGCCTCAAAACCTTTCGGTGCACAATCGACGAAGCCAAAGCGCAATCTCTCACAGCTGTCGAGCATTTCATGATGGCGCTGGATCAATACAATATTGACCCGACTCGGACAACTCTCAAGCTGGAGAGGGACCAGAAATGCATGTGGGATATACTGGATCACCAGACAACCGGCAGCTCCAATGCTCTGGAGTATCTGGGGCTCACTGCCAATTGCATTTACCTGGATTTCGCTGTCCGCTACAGACTGGAGGTGTGCGTTAGCAGAGGATATCTCAGAGAATATGCCCTTGATGCTGTATTCTTGGAGAAGCTGGCATCGCTGGATGTCGCAAAAGCAAGCCGGATGTTGGATTACATCGCGGATCAAGAGCTGCAAGTCGAAGACCCCATGCAAATCTTTGAAGACGCTAAGTTTCTTTGCGCGCCTGCAAAGAAGCGCATTCCACATTATTGTTCACTTGTTCTCAAGGTCAACATCACGCCGACATGCTTGAAGCTGAACTTGCCGAATGTCGAGAGTTCAAACCGGGTCATGCGAAAGTACAACAACTTGCACGACAGATTTCTTCGCGTGCAATTCCTTTCGGAAACAGAGTCTGACCGCATTGCAAAAGACCGCTACAACAACGACGACGTATGGAAACGACTTTTGCGCGCGTTACACAAAGGCATCCGGATTGGTGATCGCACATACGAGTTTCTGGCATTTGGAAACTCCCAACTACGGGAAGGCAGCGTGACCTTTTTTTGCCCAACAGCGTATCTTTCGTGCGATGACATTCGCAAGTGGCTGGGCAACTTTGATCATATCCGCAACATTGCTAAATTTGGAGCTCGTATCGGCCAGTGCTTCTCGACCACGCGAGAGGTTCGCGGTATTCGTGTGCCCACCGTCCGCCTCATTGACGACATTGAGACCGAGGGCGAGTGCTTTAGCGACGGGGTGGGCATCATATCGGGCCTCCTCGGGAAGCTGGTTGTGGACGAGATGAAACTGGACGTCGTCGGAGAGCCCTCTGCCTTTCAATTTCGCATGGGCGGCGCCAAGGGCGTCCTTGCCGTGTGGCCGCGCGAATACGCCAAGCACATGGAGGTTTGCGTGCGGAAATCCCAAATTAAATTCACCACCGAGGCAAACACGCTTGAAATCGTCAAGTGCGCCAAGACGACGACGGCAACGCTCAATCGCCAGACTATTATCATTTTGGAGCACCTCGGTGTCTCCTGTGGAGCGTTTCTGGAGCTGCTGAACGCACACATCAAGCAATACGAAGAAGCCATGACGGATCGGACTGCCGCCATTGATCTCTTGACCAAATTCGTCGACGAAAACCAGACCACTGTCATTATCGCTGAGCTTCTCAAGGCGGACTTCCAAGACCCTTTTGTCAAGAATCTGCTGAAACTCTGGCGGTCCTGGTCTCTAAAGCTCATGAAGGAGAAGTGCCGAATCCACGTTGAGAAGAGCGCGTTTGTCATGGGGTGCGTTGACGAGACGGGCACATTGCAAGGCCACTCAAAAAAGACAGAGGGATCCAATACAAAGAGAATGGACGACCTGCCTCAGATCTTTCTCCAAATTAGCAATCGAAAGTATCGAAACAAGACGACAATCATCAAAGGTCTCTGTCTTATCGGTCGCAACCCGTCACTACATGCTGGCGACATTCGGGTGGTTCAGGCGGTTGACATGCAATGTTTGCGACATCTGAAAGATGTCGTCGTGTTCCCTTCCAAGGGAGATCGGTCCCTTCCGAGCATGCTTTCTGGAGGCGACTTGGATGGCGACGACTACTTTGTCATCTGGGAGCCGACCCTGATGCCCAAAGTCTGGAACACACCGCCGATGCATTCTGAGCCGGTGAACCCGCAGAACTTGGACAGAGATGTCGAGGTGAACGACTTGCGCAACTTTGTTGTCAAGTATATGAAGAATGACTTTTTGGGGCTCATTGCCTACTCGCACCTCGCGCATGCAGATAAAAAGGGAGTCAATTCTCCCATGTGCAAGTGCTAACTGTCCGGTTCTTTGCTTGGATGCGTGCTAACAATAATTTTTGCAGGTTTGCAACTCGCTGAGCTTCACTCACAGGCTGTCGACTATCCAAAAACCGGGATTCCCGCAGAATGGACCCGAGCAAAGTACCAACCCAAAGAGTGGCCGCATTTTATGCAGCCAAAAAGCAGAACGTACCACTCTCGTCGCGCACTCGGCAAACTTTACGACCGCGTAGCCCACGAAAACTTTGACTACGTCCCCAGCTGCGAGGACGAGTTTGACTCGAGAGTCAGCCAAGGCATCCACTTGACCGACGACATCCTGGCAATCGCTAGAGACATCAAGACCGAGTATGACCAGGCTGCGCGGCGTCTGCTGAAGCAGTTCCGCCTCGCGACCGAGTTTGAGCTCTACTCTGGCTGGGCCATGTCCAAGCCGGCGGTCGGCTCGGACTACAAGCGGCAAGAGGATCTCGGGCAGCAGTTTGGCGCGCTCAAGCAGCGGTTCCGCGACATGTGCATCCAGGCGGCAGGCGAAGCGGGCGGCGGCCAGCTGGAAGTTCTGGTCGCGGCCATGTACAAGGTTACGCAGGACGAGGTCAAGTGCTTCCTGGCCGCGGCCGAGGGGGGGGATTTGACTTGTTCGTCCAAGCCCATGCCGCTCATTGGCTTCCCGTGGATCTTCCATTGGGTGCTCGTCAAGATTGCCATGGGCCGCGACTACAAGCCGCTCGAGACGAGCTTGGCGGCCGCCGTGCGTCCTACACCGATGGCGCCCGCTCGCAAGACGGATGACGATGCACCGCGGGTTGTGGATGCGCCCACAGAGCCACGAATGTCCATCGAAGAGCCAAAATCAGCCGGCAAGGTCAAGGAACAAGCTAATCTGCTCGATTTCGGTGCCGCGGACGTCGACGCGAAGCCAGCGACAACTCCCTATGAGACACCTGACGAGACTGCCGAGAGCGTAGCCCTGTCACGGGGCGCAAAGGGCCATGAAATGGTGGCAAGAGAGTCTGATTCAGGCGCACAATCGCTTGGTTCCCTCGAGCCATGCAGGGAACGGTCGCCAGGTGTGCCGCACACGGTGCCCAGCCCACCTATTTCGGGCCATCTGGAGTACCGGGAGTCGGGGATGGACCGACTGCTGCGGTTGTATGAGGACTCTGAGGACTCTGAGGAGGACTAGGATGACGTGGATGACTGAATGGGCCTTGAATATTGTTTTTTTTTTCGCCTCCTCTCTTGCTTCTGGTACTTTTAGCTAGCGCTTAATACACAAGTCAGTTCTCAGCACCCATTTCTCGCCTGCGCGGACCTCTCTGCCCTCGTGCTGCTACCGTGTTAGGTCTCGAAGAATCGAACGAGTGCAAGGACAGAAGAGAAAAGACAGGCATACCAGGAGACAGTCGTCGCCGTGCTTGTGCAGCAGCAGCGTGCCCGTCTGGGGCGCCACAGAAATGGCCTCGGCATCGACCGGCCGGTCGTGCGGGTAGAAGACGGTCTCGCCGCCGACGCAGCCCTCGGCGGCCGACGTGAGGTACAGAAGCAGCGTCCACGTCGTGCGCGCCAGCACGGGCGTTGCGTCGACCTCGAGCGTGACGTTGTTCGACTCGTCGTCTATCTCTCGTCAACATCTCTTCCTTGCGCCGCGCCGTGCATGAACCTGTGTGTCAAACTCACAATGGCAGTCAAAGAACTGTCCTTTTGTGTACCGATAGACGCGAATATTCGGACTCAGCCCAACCGGCTCACCACCCCTGCATGCCTCCTCATCAGCACACACATCATCGCGCACGCAAAAAAACTCACCACAAATGCACAACATCGTCCCGTAGCAGCGCCTCCCGCAAGCCGGTGCGCGCCCACAGGGCGTCTGCAAACGCCGCGTCGCGCACCTGCAGGCGGTCGTTGACGCGCACGGCGTCGCCGCGGCGGGGCGTGCCGGGCGTCGTCTGCAGCGCGAGCGTGGACAGGAAGGAGACGTAGGCGCGGCACAGGCTGCGCGGGAAGAAGCCGTCGAGGGTGACGACTTTGGCGCTGCGCGGGTGCGGCGTCGGCAAGAGGTCGACGACGGGCAGCGGCGGCTTGAACGGCGGCCAGGCGGGCGGTGGCGGCGGAGGGGCGGCGGGATGCTGGGCTTTGGATGGTTTGGCGGCTTTGGATTTGCCCATGTTAAATTTACGATGTGAGAAGGGAATTGTATCTGGGAGCAGCAGAGAATGAGATGGCGTTGCTTTGTTCAAGTGGCTGCTGTCAAATGTACCTAATTTCCAACCGCAGCCCACTAAAAACAGCACCTTGACTTCCGCTGCGCCAACGAAGTCGGGGCAAGTCAACATCTACATTGTCATCTATTACCTGTCGAGGCTTCAATGCACGACAGCGCTACTCGTTGCCGTCGTTGGAATTAGCTCTGGACAATGCCGTTATACTCTGGATACGCTGCAAACACGCCCTTGACCGCCTCAATGACTTGCGCATGGATGCCAGCGGGACACGCCACCAGGCCAAAGTTTTCCGTCAGGTCACGCCCGGCCGTAAACACCAGGTCCTTGCCGTTGAGGTCCGTGACCTTGCCGCCGGCCTCGGCAAACACCATGACACCGCCGGCGTGGTCCCAGATGTGCGGCGGCGCCTCGCCCGGCCGCGGCGCGCGCAGGACCACATCAGCGAGGTCCAGGGCCAGGGCCAGGTAGCGCAGCTGGGTGCTGAAGACGTGCATCGGCGCCCACGTCGTCGCGCCCAGCGCGGCTGCAATCTCAGCGCGGCCGGCAAACTGCGGCGACGTGGTTTCGGCGTTTTCGCAGAAGCGGAGGCGGCGCAGGTCGTCCACGGGCCGTCTCTGCTCGATCCGGCGACGCTCGGCGAGCGCGCCCGTCGAGAGCGGCCGGACAAATGCGCCGCGTCCTCTGATGGCGGAGACGAGGCAGCCGGCGGTGCCGTCCGTCTGGGCGTCCTGCTCCGAGATGGCGCCGGCGGCGACGTCGACGTGCGGGCAGCCAAACGCGGCGACCGTCTCGGCGCCGTCGATGAGCAGCGTGGCGCAGACGACGTACTGGCCGCCGCGGAGGAACCCCTTGGTGCCGTCGACGGGGTCCAGCATCCACACGCGGCCCGTCGGCCCGGCGTACGAGCGCCCGCCGAGCTCGATGCAGCGCAGCATATCCGCGGCCGACGCGGGCGCGTGCAGCAGCGCCTCGCTCGCGGCGTCGTCGAGGCGCGACGACGCCACGAGCTGCCAGACGCGCTCGACCAGCGCCGGGCTCGTCGCGAGCAGCCGCGTGTCCTCCTCGCCGACAATGGTGTCGTCGGGGAAGCGGTGGTGGATGGCGGCGACGAGCAGGGCCTGCGCGGCAAAGTCGGCCAGGGACACGGGCGTCTTGTTGTCTTTGGCGAGCTCGCCTTTTTCGACAAGCTGCAGGACTTTGCGGGTGACGATGACGGCTTTTTGCACGGCCAGCTCGGCCAGCTTGAGCTCGTGCTCGTAGGAATTCGCCATGGTCAAAGGCGGACGAGGCGAGCGTATCTGAAATGTCCTCACACGTATCTCGGAAATAGGACGAGAATGAAGAGAGGATAATAGCAAATGGCTATGTCCTGTTTGTCGTCTCTTGTTCACCATGACACCCCACCCAACAAAGACGCAGGAAGCCCCGCTTGAATGGAAAGCTGGAAACTATGACGATTTCATGATTTTTTATAAATTACTATTTAACGCCGGAGGAATGGCTGAATATCTAGCGCAGCAGCATTTCTTGACAGTTAGCGCTTGCAAGGACCAAAGTCGTTTCTTTGCTTGGCGTCAGAAGGAACGCAAACAGCGCCCAGCTAAGAGTACAGCCAATAAGACGCATAGCAACAACGGATGATTCCAACTCATGGTCGTGTCTCTTTTGAAACGGCAAATACCAAATCTGCAACAATGTCATAGCGCGGATCAACAACCATCAGCTGACACGGCTGAAGATAGCGTGGCTGAGACACCTGAATCTGGCTAATTTGTGTGGTACTATGTATCGATGTACCTATGATAAAAGTCGATGTTGGTCTCAGAGAAGCCCCAACAAGTATGAGCTCTAGCGTAACAACTCTTGCATGAACGAAAAGGATCTTGGGTAAGACGCAAGGCCTGTTCAGGTCGCAGCTATCAAGGTTGTCCACCGAAAGCATGACACAACGTGCGGCCGTCGAAGATGCAGATGGCGACGTGTACCCCGTGCACATCTTTGACAACCTGAAGCTCCGGCGCATCTTTGTGGCGCGGGTGCTGCACTTCAACGATGTGCTGGATGCCGGGAAGCTGCAGAGCTCTCTTACGCGTCTCCTCGAAATTGGCGACTGGCGAAAGCTCGGGGGCCATCTGCGATGGAAGGCAAGTTTGCGTCGAGGCAGTAGATGTGGGCGCGCAACCGAGGGAGCTGACTCTGCGAGTATAGGACAAGCACAAGGCAAACTTAGAGATTCATGTTCCCAAGCGGTTCACGGCGGCCGAGCCCGCATTCACATTCGCGCACAACGACATGACCCGGACGAGCATACACGACCACCCGACACTCAGTCGCCTCCACCCATCGAGCACCGCCCACGCCGCGATCCTGCCCGTTCCGAAAGGAAAGCCCCCCTTTGCCGCACCGGCCGGCTACCCCACGACGGTCGACGAAATGATTCGGCAGAGGCTCCCGCAGCTGCTCGTGTACACGACGTCGTTTCGCGACGCGACGCTCGTGTCCGTGGTGTGGCCGCACACCGTATCCGACGCCTGCGGCGTCCTGCACCTTCTCAGAAACTGGTCCCTCGTCGTGGGCGGCCGCCAGGACCACGTCTCGTCGATGCTCGGCGCCCGCAGCGACATCATTGTCGAGTCGGACAACGCCGAGCCCGTCGAAGAGCGGGAGCCGCTCGGCCTCGAAACGTGGCGTCTCTCCGGGTGGCCAATGGTCAAATGGATCGCGCGGTTCGCCTGGCGGTGGGCACGGAGCCCGCCCGTCGAGCCACGAACAGTCTTTGTGCCCCGAGACGCCATGGCCGCCCTCCTGGCGCGCATCCAAGCCGAGGTGGCCGCGATGCCGACGCAGGCCGGCGCCGCCACCTTTGCCAGCGAGGGCGACATGCTGACCGCCTGGATCGTGCACACGATCGGCGCCTCGGAGGGCTGCAAGCGGCCCATGGCCGTCTCAGCCTTTTACAACATGCGCCCCCGCCTGCCGCGCGCGGCCGACGGCGGGGTCTACGTGCAAAACATGCTCGCGCTGACATTTGCGCTCGTCACGGCCGCCGAGCTCCGCGGGCCCGTCGGCCCCGTCGCCGTGACGCACCGGCGGCACGTCGCGCGGCAGACGACG